AAAAGGTCCTTGTTCACAATTAAGTACACATACACCATTAATCGATTCAGTGATAACCAAGTCTAAACAGTTTCCAGCAGTGTGTGTACTAAAGTTTACATGTTGCTCTAAACCCATAGCATGAAGGCAATTTTGAAAGTTTGTAGATGCACCACTACCATTGTCAAGGTGAAGGTTGAAGTCTCCCATAATCATATATATATGATAAGTACATATGCTAGTGACAAATATACATTAAATTTGGAATGAAAATGCGTTTTGAGCTCCACACCTCAAGTTTATATGCAAATACATGTAGATACCTGAAGCTTTCACTAACGGATCAGATTACGGATGAGACCTTTGCTAGAAACCCACGAACCTTGCGGCCATATTATAACAACGGCTTCGTTGGAAGCTATGGATTGTCCACAAAGTAGCGTAAGAAAGAAGGTAAGAGAATTATGGGGAAGGATAAGTTGATAGGTCATGAATAATAACAGAAATATACGGTGGCACAAAAGTGACGTGTGCAGAACTTAATTTTTCTCGTGGGAACGAGATAATATCTTGTGGCCGCGAGGTGGATAAAGATGTGCACATGTCACCTCTATGTCAACGTAGACATAAGTATATGTTTATTTCATTTAAATCGGTGCTAAGTTTATCCATGGAATTCAATTGTCAATGAAAGTCAAAACAAGGGCATGTAAGGACCATAACTTTGTGGGGAAAAAATCACTGAACAGGAACATGCTGCTAACAATGAAATTCAAGTCAATGGTTGCTGAGAATTGTTCCGAAGAAAGTTTTGTGATGGACAGAAAATGACGGACAGACAAACCATACAGGTTACAATAAACAGTCTGCATTATCTAACTTATCTAACAAAATCACTTAAATTGCTTAACATCATAATTAAGCTAGAAAGAGTTATGGTCCTTGCAGACAACGAGTCTTCTCAATGTACACTATCATTGTAAACGATTCCAAGAAAATTCTTTGAATATGTCTAGGATTGTGTTCGGGATGAAGTATGTAAATGATTAGGCATCAAAGGATATAACTCTGCGAAACATAAGTGAATCAGAACATGCTGCTAATGTGCACAACTTTTCTTCGTAGTAAAGCTTCCCGTGAAATTTCGATGAATTCCAGTCTGTGGTTGCTGTAAAAATAAGTCCGGGCAAAAAGGTATTAAATGGGTAAAACTTTGTGGGAAATCACTGGAATGTAACATGTATCTAGTTTAAACATAGTTTATTTCAAACAATGATACAAGTACATGTTGTTAATACATTTACAATAATTAGATACGCGAATGAAAAAGGATTAGAGCCGAAAGCTATAAAGCTTATAAAGCTTAACATGTATCTAATATGAGCTTACCTTCTTAATGACGTTTCAATAATTCAAGCAAATGATGCGTGTGACGAACGGTATACTTCTAAATCGAAAAGTTTACTATATATAATATTTATTATGTTTGAATGTTGAAGTCTGCATGCTTAAGCCGGTGCTAGGAGCGTAGACATTAAATAGCATTTCCCATTTTTGTCCATACACAGGCTTAATCAAACTAAGACTGCAACATTATTTTCAATTTTGTTATTTTGGACGTCTTTTGTTGTTGTTGGTTTTGTTTTTTGGTTTGTTTTTTTTAGAATTCTGTTTTTCTCTTATATATTTTGTTATCCCCTAGGTCTTTATTTGATGTTTCATACACCCATAATACATTTTAACACCACAAACCCATAATATATTTTAGCACCACAAAAACATTTAACAGTTCTGTATAAATATGTTTTCTGCAGAATAAATCGGATAATATTTAACATCTTATATTATTAACAAACCCTAGCTTATAAGCACGGAGTCCGAGCGTTCCATGAGATAGACTTCATTACATTTGCACATAGAGGCATGACTCTTTGATATAATGTTACTTTTTAGGTCTTGACCGATCATTTGTTGGAAAATATTCAGATCATTCGCTCCCTTTTTTCCAGAAAAAAAATTTAAATGTAAAAAATGATCTAAAATGAAAAGCGTTAACTGATTAAATATCGCACAAAAATACGATTTTAAAGTTTTTTTCAAGGATATTTTTATTATCTTTTGCACATCGTTCTGCTTCAATTTCTTTGTTGATCCATAAGCGCAATTAAAAATTATTTGTTATAGGTATTTTGACCTCATTTGAGTTCCTTTAAAAGGAGTCATTATTGCTTGCTGTTATTGCTGTCACATTTGCACTTTTATAATAATGGTCGGGTTTGTTTTTTTCCTCTCCAAATCGGAAGTTGCACAGGTTAATAAGTGTTCAAAAAAAATCTTGATACAATTTACTTTAGAAACTACGAGAAACTCATTTCTTTCCCGCTTTGTAATTAATTTCAGGCCACACAATCGTAAAGTTTTAGGTGTCTGTTTGGTCATAAAAGTGCAGGAAGCGCGTGCTTGAATCTCGTGTCAAACGAGAGGTCAGCCATGTTTGACTACAATTTAATGGCATTCAGTCATAAATCATGACAAGGAGCATCAATGATTATGATATTTGTGAATGAATTTCATGCTCGCTGTTTTCCATACAGTTTTTCATTGATTTCCAATCTGTCTTTCATTGACCGGAAGTGTGGACATTTTCCCGACACCTTAGGTCAAAGGGCTTCAAATAATTGCCAATTGGGGCTCCCAAGTAAGCTTGAGAGTTGACCACTGTGAGAACATTGGACAGGATGTATATTTGTAACCCTTAATTAAACTGTTCCTGTTATTTGTTCATTTGAATTAATTTTCTTTAGAATTTTTTTTTTCATAATTAAAAACAGTTTGATGTAGTTAATTCATAGGAAACCCAAAATTGTTGACTTTAACATCCGCTCAAGGAAGTGGGGAAGGTTTTGCAGACTGTTCATGTATAGTTCAGTATTATATTATAGTCAGGCGCGCACCTTTGACATAACACTATATCAAACACATGTTCTCTCTTCAGGATACAGGATACGCCCATTGTGCACGTGATTGTAACAATGCCCGGAAGCCGTACTAATGAATGGACAGTAAATTGCTGTTTTATGAATGGGTTTACTATTATCGCAAATTGTAGTACTGGCCAGCGGAAATAGTAGGGGTCGTGCGCGTTGATATATGTAAAACACATGTTTATCAACCAGTTGCGCTTTCGGGCAAAAAAGAAAGTATCGTGCAAATGTTTTACTAGCTCGCCAGAAGGAAGCAGTCATGGTAGGGGGTAGGGTACATAAAAACTTTTTAAAGATTATGCCAGATTATCAAAGAACTCCGGGATCCGTACTCTCAGCCTGAAAGGGCGGATGGACCCTCGTTGAGCATAGAATACATGCTTATCAAAGAACTCATCTGGTATGAAAGTATTCTCTGCAACCGATTACCGCCTTACAAAACAGATTTCTTTTATTTAATAATTTGATAAATGATTGAAATTTAGGTCATCTCTAAAATAATGTTGGTGGAGGGAAATGTGACGTATATGACAATTATGTTATCCTCATAACAATCAGTCCTGATAGGACGGAACGTTTATATACAAAATACATATCCTGTAACCATTTATCAAATGGTTTAAAACCATGCCTTTGCTTTGACTTTATTCTCACTGTTCTCAAATAGTTTTGCATACAAACAAATGACTGCAGAACGATACTTATATTCATGAATAGTTTCGGGAAATTCATATTGAATTGTGGTTTTGTTGGTTACAGCGTGGCACCATCGTTCAAAAATATGTGTGCCCCATTTAGAACAACAAGAGCCGATATGTGATACCAATATTGACCTATATTTAGCCACTCGAGTGGTTTAGAAACCGCAAACCATAGCGTCTATGTCACAGATGCCTATTTTCTGTCGCATGGTACATGCAGCAACATCAGTAGAATATTTTGAAGGAAGAAATAAAAAACAATCAGTTCTACAGTTTGTAGGAACCTATCCTGTTAACAATGCTATATACAATAAAAGTATATTTACATTAAATAAAAATATATGAAAATATCTTTATTTTATCTACATGTTATATAATTGGGTTGATACATGTGCCCCTCTTCCCGGGCGAGAATAATTATTATTGTTGCAATTTTTAGTCTGTTGGTATTTAAGGTTAAGTTTGATTATTTGAAATTGACCCTATTTTCTATTTTTATAACTTGAAAACACACCGATAATACTTATAGTAAACCTAATTTGTTCTAAATATTTAGGCGGGAATTCCCATGCGAGAAACACATTTTTTGCTACACAGGCGCAAATGCACCAACTTTTTCTTGTAGTACAGCGGAAAGTTAAAACAACGCCGCAACTTGATATATATTCGCTGTTAAAATATTAAAAGAACTCCAATCTTGGGTTTGTTTACTCCAGCTACCGCATGGGCTATGAACATTTTGAACGACCCTCTTTATCAATGAAACGGTATTGATCACGTGATAATTGATTCTCCGCACCTACTATGATTGGCAGGTTATTTTCCCCCTTGAGTACCTCTTGTATTTAAATGCCCCGAAAGAAACGGTTTAACACTGATAAATGGACAAAAATCTACGAGCTTTGTTTTTATTAATGCCTTCCTATTACACATTCGTGTAAAATTATTCCGATCCATTGCTCAAAACCTAAATGATAAGTTGTCAGAGGTTAAAAATTGACTGATAATACAGAGCGGATGTGCCTCTCAACCAATTCATTGATCCGGTCGATTTTTGTTTGCATAGGGAACCACGTGACTTTGATATCATTAGGATGATACTACTTTTGACAAGTGGGTAAATTCAACTCCATTCATTCATAATTAGGTTAAGTCTATTTATCGGTGTTTTGCACTGTATTTGTATAGAAACAAGAAAATACTTATATTTAATTTATTTTGTCGCAGGGAATAAAAGTTAAAATCATTAACCATCGGAACTTGGATTAAACCGTAAGTATATTGTAATTTGCAAATACACTCGCCCCTTCACATTTGCGAATAATGGATGCGACCGGAAATCTCAGGGGGAAGAAACGAGGTCACAGCCAGTGTCGAATTACACTCAGTTCTCCTAATATAGCGAGCATTTCAATATCGTACGAAAAAGAAGATATTAATTCAAGAAAATAAAGTTGTTAAATGTGTCAACTTCTGTTTTATTAAGAACGTGAACGTTGGAATACAGTTATATTGCCTCGAGTTGGAATATTAAGGTAAAATTCGCCTAAATAATCGACCGTATTTACAGCCAGCTATCGTTTATTGAACAAGTGCGTGTTTTTATGCTGCACCCACTAAAAGATGCGGGAATGAAAGGATTTATCGATTTAAATCGTTCTGTGCTTTTAATGCGTATTTTCGGTTTGTTTAGGTAATTTTTATTGTGGCAAGTTGGATATTTTCTGGACGTTAGAGTTTGCGGCTGTGTTCTCGTGCCGTTCTAACTGGACGTATCTTTGGGTATATGTGGAATTTATGAATGGAGTAAAGCTCTCTCTCTCTTTCTGGATATTACACGTGTATGTTCTTACAGTCGGATATGTTGTTTTGGGATTCTTAATTTATATTCATTGTAAGGAATAAACGGGATTTATTGTTTATACTAAATGCGTTGCATATTGTAATTTTACTGGTTGCTGTTTTTTAGTGAAAAATAAACCTGCAAAATATCATTAATTTAGAAGCCAATCTTGTTAATTGTCAATTTCATTACAAAAACAAGATAAAAACTATGATGTCAAATTTTAGCGTCAGTTTAATTGATTTGTTTTTAATGAGATTATAATTGTAAGAATGATCCAAGGGTCGTTTTAGATATCCTGCTTGATAACAGTTGTAAAATCTAATGAACCGCAGTAAAAATAACTGCTATGCATAGATAATCATTCCTTCTGATGGCATCAGAGTCAACTAAAGCCCCTGTCAAGCATTGTTAAAAGTTAAAAAAAACTTTATTTATATGTTAAATGTTAATTAATTTAATCAACCATAATGTTCTAATTTGTATATGATAGATTGAAGGTATTTAAGTGTACATAAAGTTATAAAAGAACATTTTAGGCCCTAGTTAATCCCTGTAATGTGGACTAAAATTTTAAATTTGATACCATGAATGCCTGAACTATAAGAGTTTATTTAAGTGTATGTATGCAAACATTAACTTGATGTTAGAATAATACAAACATCTAGATATTATTTCAATTGTTAAATGTTTCATATTTCATTGTACAAAATAAGCTATTGTTTAATAGAGAAACATGTAAATTATTATAATGAGGAAAAAATAAACTCAATTATTTCATCCTATAATATGATATAATTTAAATATTATGTCTGCAGGGTTAGAAAAAACGACTTGTCCATTTTATTTGAGGCATTCTTTACTTGTCTATTATAATTTAATAAAGAATGAAAATAAAGAATAGATCTGAGATTTTACATGTACTGGTCTATAAAGGCTGCAATACGGACAATTTGATTTTTCTGCCTTGAATATGAAAGTACATGCCACCTTAGATCCTTCTGGTTCATTGATAGGATTCATAAGAATAACGGTCAAACTGTGAAAGTGGAAAAACTTCAGATTCAGAAAAATTCAGAAAATCGTAAAATTACTATTGTTATAGAAAAGAAGCACCTATACGGAATTTAGGAATAATCCTGAAAAGTTTTACCCATTACCATTAGATGTATAATTTATTAATTTGATCAACTTGGAGGTTTACCAGCTTTTGATCAATAACAATAAAGCGTTTGTTAGAGGCCTTAGGCCTGGTGTACCAGTTCTTTGGGCATTTAAATTTTAATAAAAAAAGGCCCAATTTTCCTTGAATAAAATAATTTTATCTGTCTGGTCTGTATCATAGTGTATGGCCAGCACTTGGTGGATCTGTGATTAGATGAATGTAACATGAGCTAAGTAATTGAAATAAACTAGAAAATATTTGTTTGTAATCCTGATCACAATATTACATAAAAAATTGAAATGCATCTTGTTATCAAATTAGTCAAAATATATTGACGTGTTAAAGATTGATTCTTAGATATTTTCGTACTTTGGCAGAATCGCGAGATATTGCCCAGACACAAAATCTCGTTGTGCAGTACAATTAGTTGGACTCACTAGTTAGCAAATGAAAGGTATATGGACTTTCCCCCAGTCATGTTAATATGATAGTGGTAGGACCTAGGTTGAGGGAAAATGAAACTTACCTGCAAAAGTATAAGAAGAAAGTGATTCACATGTATGGCCTTAAGTTTTTAAATGCATGGGGTATACTATTTTAAAAAACAACACAATTGTCCAGGATTAATATATTGAATTTGATCTGAAATTGTGAAAAATTAATGTCAAAATTAGTCACCACTAATGTTCAGTTCTGTGTATTATGAAACAATTTAAGCCGATCTCGAATCTGCAAGCAACTTTTAATGGTTATTAAAATTAGTTTGATCAGCTAAGGTGCTTTTCAACTAATGATCATAAGGGTATAATCTTACATGGTTTTAAGATATCACATTTATAATAGTCTTTTTTGAAATTTTATCCAAATGACTTAACATATAAAAGGTCACCAGTGTTGAATCATTTATATACATGTCGCATGTATGTTGCCACAGTATTCAAACTGTTCTATGAAGCTGGAAATTTATGCTCCACGCAATTAAAACCAAAAAATAAGGGATGGTAGAAGTGTTTATCTTTCAATTAAACTCATTAAAATTTAAAGGGAGTGCAGATTCTATAAACATTAAAACATATGGTGATAATTTATGAGAGGAACATCATGCTTGGTTAAGAATTTTGGAAGTTGGTGCCAATTAAGGGAGGGGCAGTTTTTCTTCTTGCATTGGTGAGGTCAAGGTCAAATGAAAGGAAAGGCACATTTAGATTTATAGATTCTTTGATAATACATTGAAATCTGACAGAACACCATATTTTTCAGTTGTTTAACTGAAAATAGCTTAAATATACTATAATTATGATATCTGTCTTTATTATGATTTATGATGATCATAAAGTTTGTACAAAAGTTTGTACAACTATACAACTCAACTTAAAAAACTTTATATAAAAGTTTGGCCATAAAAGTCATTTGCCTGAATATGTAGATATTTGTAGATATACATTAGTGTAAAATACAGGTGTAAAAAAAGAGTATATTAAAAGTCCTCCCACTCACAACGTACCAGAAACAATAGCCATTAAGTCTAGACCAGTTGTTACCTAAGGGTTTTCATACAAGAAGAGAACACTCTTAACTCATTGCATGCATCAGTTATAAGCTTAATTATGTGGTAAAAAACCACTAAAACCTTGGTGACATTGTGCTCATTTGTTTTCCTATTCAAGCAAAAATAATACATGATATATAATATAGATAATAATATTGTACTCGCGTAAAATGAGTATGAAATGTGTTGGCAAATTTCGTGCTGCATCTCATGTATATTTAATAACTTATTTTGTAGATGTTGAACCATAAGCATTTTTCATAACTTCAATGAAAATATTAACTTTGGAAGGATTCTGGTTGGAAATTCATAATCAATTATTCCCACATGGGGCTTGTATGAATTTAAAAAAGGATTTCCCAGGCCTTAACTGTTAACACTTTGAAACAGTTTATGTAATACTATGTACTAACAACAATGAAACTGCATTCAAGTTTGTTAAATTAATCAAGAAACATTACTTCAATAAAGACTGAAGCTAAATGCCATTTTAGAATATTTTCCTGGAGGGAAGACATAGATCTGCATGGGCTTGTGCTATAGAAAGGACAAGATTTTAATTAAAAGTATGCAGGTGCTATGACAAACTGCATTATCAAAACACTGCCTACTGCAGTACATGTTTTGAATTGGGCATTATATCATAATTAATGTAAAATGATAATTGACTTGAATAATAAGTGATCTCCCATACAGGTCCAACAAGAAAAAAGTATCACCTATTTAACTTCACAACAAAGAAAGTCATTTTAATTTGTATCCCAATATGCAAAATAATTCAGAATATAGTGTTTTGTTGTGTGTACTAGAGAGACCAAGGTTGTTGTCAAGAAACTAGTTCATTAAGTATACTAGAAAAAAATTTGTTTATATCTTACAACAGCCTAGAAAAAGCAGTTTTAACTTTTAAGTATCTTATAATGTGAAAGCATGTAAAAACCCTAACTTCCACTCTAAAAAATCAACAGTAATATCAACAATATTCAACTATTTTGAGTCTTCAACTTTTTTTTTGCTTTGGATTTTTTACAACATAAATTTATTTTTATATACTTTTATTTTTTCCTAAATTGTGATTTATAAGCTGTTTGACTGTTTCCTATATGAAAATTTCTGTCATATATCATGTGTTTTTCCCTCCAAAATATTTTCTCCTATCTGTCCTTTTTCCAGCTATCTCCTTCCAAAATCAAAGGCCTTTTGCCTGTCTTACCAAGTTCATAAACACTGCAAAGTCAGTAAAATTTTAACAATATGTAACAAAATTTTATCAGATTTAAACATCTAACCAAGAAATTATTTACTGGGTTTACTTTTTTGTAGAAAATGTAACGCACTGATATAAATGAAGAGCCATTTTATTGGGACTCTTCACCTTAATTTTTTGCCTGTTGCATCAGTATAACAAACTTGCACAGGGTCTAAAAGTTTAAATCTTTCATTCACGATTGATATTAGAAATTATTTTTTTATGGGTAAAGATGAATAAAGGGGTTTTCAAATGAAATGCAATATTATTATATAAAAACCAGACTGGTTCAGTGAAGAGATGTGAGGTCTTTGAATAAAAACTGTAAACTAGACAAATCTCACCTTTAAAACCATTGTTCACTTTAAAAATACAGAGATTCTTGTATTGCCTTTTACTGCAAAAACTTTTTTTATTGGCAAGCAATAAAAAAGTCGAGCGCGCTGTCTTACGGACAGCTCTTGTTTTGTGTGTACTAGAGAGACCAAGGTTGTTGTCAAGAAACTAGTTCATTAAGTATACTAGAAAATTTTTGTTTATATCCTACAACAGCCTAGAAAAAGCAGTTTTAACTTTTAAGTATCTTATGATGTGAAAGCATGCAAAAACCCTAACTTCCACAGTAATATCAACAATATTCAACTATTTTGAGTATTCAACTTTTTTTTTGCTTCGGATTTTTTACAACATAAATTTATTTTTATATACTCTTATTTTTTCCTAAATTGTGATTTATAAGCTGTTTGACTGTTTCCTATTTGAAAATTTCTGTCATATATCATGTGTTTTTCCCTCCAAAATATTTTCTCCTATCTGTCCTTTTTCCAGCTATCTCCTTCCAAAATCAAAGGCCTTTTGCCTGTCTTACCAAGTTCATAAACGCTGCAAAGTCAGTAAAATTTTAACAATATGTAACAAAATTTTATCAGATTTAAACATCTAACCAAGAAATTATTTACTGGGTTTACTTTTTTGTAGAAAATGTAACACTGATATAAATGAAGAGCCATTTTATTGGGACTCTTCACCTTAATTTTTGCCTGTTGCATCAGTATAACAAACTTGCACAGGGTCTAAAAAGTTTAAATCTTTCATTCACGATTGATATTAGAAATTATTTTTTTATGGGTAAAGATGAATAAAGGGGTTTTCAAATGAAATGCAATATTATTATATAAAAACCAGACTGGTTCAGTGAAGAGATGTGAGGTCTTTGAATAAAAACTGTAAACTAGACAAATCTCACCACCTGTTAAATGATTTACCTTGGTGAAGTAAACAAAAAATGACAATTTATGTAATATTTGTATTTGTAACTTTCCTACAGTAAAAGAGCTCATTTTTCATAAAATGTTTTTAGAAAATGGCATAAACACCTGAGCTTTTTTCAAGTGGAGTTTTTCTTCTTAGATAAACACATTCAAGATGGTAAATATTCAAACTTTTTTGGGGGAAACATGTGGTTTTAATTTATTCTTCGGTTTAGAATTGTTAACATATATTGCTGAGTTCCTCCTTCAGGTTTTAGAAAAGACGTTGTTTATCACCTGACCTAGTTAAGAAAAGTTCAGTAAAAAACGTTTTAGTCGATACAGAATCTGTTTTATTGGTAGAAAATAGGAGGTTGGGTTTTGTAAATCAAGTTACAAAAACGTTTCAAGTTTTCTAGTTTCTTATGCATTAGGATTTTACAAAGTGGTACATTACAGTTATGATTTATAAAATAGGTAATATATTATCCGAAGATTTCAATAAACACATACAGTCTTTTTCGGCAATAACGAAATGGAAGTAATTTTCGATAAATGTGTAAAGTAAATTTTTGTCATGAATTTGGAACAAAATCAAACTTTTGAAGATGGTGTTTAGTAACTACATTTATCAGTTTAAAGTGAGAAGCCTTATGCATTTTAAAACATAATCTTAATTTTTTAAATACATATTTGCCCTTATGTAACATTTCTCATAAAAATTGCACTGAAACTTATGTAGATTTACTTAATGTTATTTTTGATATTTTATGAACAAACAAGTTTGCTTTTCACCTGATTCAGTACAGTCCCCCAACTCCATCCCCATGTATTTAGAGACCAGGGTCCGTCACCATTCTGTGTATGTAGAAAATGAAATTAAATCATTATGTGCCATCTGGGTATGGTCTGCACAGTACCCTACAATGTATTTAGACTTTGCATATTTTGAAATAATATCACTAAAATCAAATTGAAAGATGGATAAGCCACTTATGAAACATTGTATTCAGGGGGATAAGGATTATAACTCTAGTAGTATTAACTTGTGTTTAATTATTAACAATTGATGGAGTTCAGTTCAAATCTTTCATCCAAATGCCTGATGTTTTTACACAGTTATCCTTGTAATATCGCAACTTATAATTGCAAAATTTAGCAGACGCATGAACTCCTTGCATGAAATCAGACTTGTCAAAGCTATCTGTTTAAAAAAGGAAAAAATAATTCTGTTGATGTGCATCACATTAATTTTAGGATCAAATTTTATATGGAAAATAAATTTATGACTGATTTTATACCAAAATTTAATGATTTTGCACTCGTAAGAAGTCCTGTACATACAGTGTAGAGCGGCATGTGTATGACACATTTCTTTGTGCAATTTGACAGTAGTTGTATGACAGCCTTTCCGTCTCTATAAATTTCATTACTGCAGTATGTGTCAGATTTGTTGGCTTCGCATGTTAAAACAGATTGATTTTATGCTACATGTATACAACACTGGTGTTTTTAACTTTTTAGGGATTTCTGGGATTAGATGCCTGTAAACATGCTCATTTAAACAATTAAATCTTTATGAAGAATTTAATATTCTAATTGCTTACTGTTGAAATTGAGTTGGGTAGATGGAGGATTTATTCTGTAACAGTATATTATTGACAAAAGCATAGGAACTGTTGCAACCATCAATACTGTTTGAAAACCCCTAGTGTTTCAGTGCAAAAGATCTATACACACTGCAACTTGAGACTGGGTCTAGATTTTATCAATGAAGCAAGATAATTATCCAGTGTTTCAGTACTTGAATACCTGCATGTACACCTGTTTTGACCTAATTGTAGTCGCAAATTTGTGTCAGATTTAAATCCAGTTTATTGGCAATTAGAAAATTATACCTTGGCTTGGGGGGAAAAGTTATGACCCTGTAGTGTAATGACCAGTATGAAATGACGAGTATAATGTTTTGCAGTATACATTTAATTCATCAATTAACTATTTACATTTTTTTAAAGAAGTTTAAATTAATTTTAATGATAAATATATATTCCTATATGTATATCTATATTATATCTATATGGTTGTTCAGAAAAAAAGCCAGGTGCTGAGTCATGTTGTTTTCTCCATAATAATTTGAAATGTCCCAGTACTTGACTTTAAGTTTAAGCTCAGATAATGTGATAGGAAAAGAGAGGATTATGTGTTTATATATTATTGACTTTGATTTATTGAACAGTAAACATCATACATGTATGTGACAGTGTCCCAGTACTGAACTTCCTAAATTCATTTTTCTTCCTTGTGATTTTGGGCAGCTAATTTCTACATGTATTACTGGTGAAGTATTACACCATATTCACTGTCATATTTCTAATATAAAACATGTAGCTATTATTCAGTGAGGCGATAAACCTGTGTGTCAAGCTTTTTACTGTATGAGATCGATAAAGTATAGTCTTTGAAGTAGAAAATCCCTCCCACACGAGGGACAAAGTCTGATATCTGACAAAAAAAACTACTGGCTCACGACCAATATTATAATGTGTCATGTAAGAAGCTCTTTCAATTTGCTGTTTTAAGAATTGTAAAATGAAAATGCAGCAAGTTAAATATCCTTAATAGTGATCTAGTGGTTATTCTAATCTCTAATCTCAGGGCATACCCTTCTATTAAGATTATTGTTTACTTTACATTTTTGGTTTCGGGAGTTTAATTTTATGTAAGTTTGTTAGTTTTGATTCCCTACAGATATTTGGTGTTTTTTATCGTGTGGGATTTATTCAGGTTTTTGAGTTTAAGTTTTATACTTGCATTTATGAAGAGATATATGGTATCATGATCTGGGTATATTGAAGGATTGTGAAATGGAAAATGAGTGTTGTTTATTATATGGTATTTCAGGAGTACAGATACACTCATATACAGTAAACATTATTTCACCGAGATAGCCTTATTGTTTTGTTTGAAAACTTTGGAATTTTACTGTGAATTTTAAGTTCAAGGTTAAGTTAGGCCAGATGGTGTGTATTGAAAATAATAACCCAGTTTCCTGGAATAATAACATGTTTGTACATGCTATTGTATATATATTATATTATAAATTATACATTGCTTTGAGTCATACATGTTAATATAGTATACAAGGTGGTATACTTGTTATAAATTTGTTGTTTTTTTAAACTTCTAAAGTCTGGAAGTTAATTAGATATTTTAATTACAATGTAGTTGGAAATATCATTATAATTTTATATTGCTTTCTTGTCATTGTTATTGTTCCTCTAGCAAGGAAACAAGTGGACTTTTTTTACATGTATATAAGACTATTAAATAGGCTTTCATGTAATGTAAAACAAAATGTAATTTTAATTGTATACAATGTATTTATTTTTATTTTTTGACAAATTTCTTAAAGATTTTCATTTCTCTTTTTCAGACATGCGGGAAGTGATGTTAGATCCACATACTAGTTCACAAGTGGAATGAGGCCGTCACGTTACCAACCGCCAACCAACACACTACCTCCACCTGACGTAGCTGGTGTGATTACACTGGATCAGGTGCGACCACAACCAAGGAAGCAAAATGAATATGTTGACACTCCACGCTCGCCACTTACACATAGTGCAAGCAAGTTCGGATCGGGGTCCACCACAAGTACAAAGAACATAGTAGTTGTTCCTTCTACTCCAAGGGAGCGTGTTATTTTACCAAATAGAACTCCAAGTAGTACACAAAATAGTATTATTCGAACTCAACCTATTTCGACAAGTCCGCCTCTAAAAAAGGATTTACCGCTTGAAATTCAAAATAGTGATGAGGACTCGATTATTTGTAGTAAATGTGGCAAATGTCGGTGTGGTGCTTGTACTTCACCGCGGGAACTACCTTCAAAATGGCTTTGTGGAGATAAAGTAAACGTAAGTCCTGAGACTGCAGTTGAATATGCTACATGCATGTGTTGTGTTAAAGGTGTATTTTACCACTGTTCGAAAGACGATCAAGACGCAGAGTTTGAATGTGTATCAGACCCGTGCGCGTGCTGCAACAGACCGAACTGTTGTAAGAGATGGACTTGTATTTTAGCAATGAGCATGTGTTTGCCGTGTATGTGCTTATATCCACCTGCTAAATGTGGATTAATGGCGTGTACAGCATTGTATAACAAATGTCGGAAAAAAGGTTGTACATGCAGTAACAAATCTAATAATCAAAGCGGGAAAAAAAGTAGGTCATCGAGAAGTAAAATGGACTCCTCATCGCAATATCGGGGCCTACTGATTGAGTCAGATAGGGAAAGCTCGTCTGTTTCAAACACTTGAAATTTCGTTATGTTGTTGTTGTTTTCTTTTTTTGTTACAACCTTGTTACGGAGGCTTGTGAAGTTGAGCGATACTATACTGTTTTGACTCATACTTGTGTACATTTGAGCGATTATCTGTGATGAACTTAACAAAACTTACTATTTTTTTGTGCCATGATTATTCGACAGTTTGGAAGAAATGTAAATGTTTGTACTGGAGTAGTGCACACAGTATCTTTGTTTTGCAAAATAAATAATCTACCAAACTATCTTCAGAACTGGATATTTAAAGTGTCTGTCTCAGAATATAAACTTCTTCAGAGAGTAAAACACAGGATTTTAATAATATAGTACAATAACTGTACCTTGACATGAACAAGATGCCGAAGATAGATTTGTGGTAGTTTTCTGAAACAAAATAGGAAAAATCATTTGACAACATTTTACATATTTTTTGACACAAATCTTATCAAATTTTTATATCTTTTAGAATGATAACAGTGTTACTTTTGTATCTAAGGGTTCAACTTCTTTATTTTGATAGTTCTCTAAATTTATTATTTAAGCATGGGTTTTACACTTTATGCAAGTTCATTATATTGTAAACATTTCTGTTTTGTATTCTTTACAAAAAAATATCTTTTATTATTCAGGCAATAACAAAATTGAAGGTTTTTTAATATGTTAGAAACATGAACATGAATTGTTTTAACAATGAGTAGAGATACTCATTTTAAGTGTCAAGTTTTTGATATAGGAAAAAATAAATTGGGTTTACTTTTCTGTTTAGGAATGGTTAGGCACATATAATGTTTTTTTTTCTTAACTTTGATCACTTGTTACTTGGAGACAGTAGTCTTCTTTTTTTGTTTTTTTTTTGTTTTGTTTTTTTTCTTAGGAAATTCTGGTTGGAACTATCTATATTTGTCCACTCCCCATTAGATGAAAAAGTTAAAGTAAGAATTAAAATAGGATTATATGGTTTTTATGTTAATTTGTATTCATTAGTATAAAGAAAACGGGTAATAAACCATGTTCCTATGATTACATGTATTTTATGGCATAGTTTCACGTATACATTGATCTTGTTTCTTTCACATGAAGAAAGTTCAAGAGACTATAAGTCAAGTTTTTCCATTTACGTTACATGTTGTTTGGGGTCTCTAGTGATTTTCGAATTTCAGCTTCACAAGAGTAACCCATGTCTGGTATTTTTCATGATCTGAAAATTACGCTGACTGATTTTAACATCGTTGTATATGATAGTTTGGTTGAAAGGGGAGCAGGACATTGGAATATAGAAAGTTTGAACTTGAGTTTCCATATACAGTGCCAGTTACAATATGGGTTATGTCAGTAATTAATACAGGTGTCTCTTTTTGACAAAGATTGATTATGAAGAAAAACGTAGGCTCAAAACATCTAGGGCTGGGTTGAAAGAAGTAAAGTTTTATACATCTCCATTTCTAATTTTCTGTTTAAACTAAGTAATTTTTATATGTTTTGGATATAACTGACATCAATACTTTTAGCAGTTAAAAAATGTTTTGAACTCCATTCCAGCAACCTGCGGTCATCAAAAAAGAGATAATATGTATTAAATACTGAATACTACGACCCAATATGCTTTATCCAAATGTGTTCATGATTTTTTTTCTCTATTTGTTATCGTATTAAATGTTCATCAGTAACTGTATTTAAACTTGAATTGCATGTTTTTGTAAAAAGATAACATCGTTTTCTGTGTAGTAGGAGTCCTATGTAATTTCACCAATCTGGTTGATTATTTTATGTTAATTGTTAGGAACAAGCAGATTGATTTCACATGTTTCATTTTTATCAAAGTCTGTTCTCCACCCATTAATCTACATTTAAAGGCCCACCATGACCTACTTTCAAGTTATAAACCCAAGCAAGCAATTATATAAGTTGTTTCATCCAAAATGATAATTAGAAAGAACATATGAAAAAAGTTATTTTTCCCAAATTTTATTCAAGTTAGTAATTAAACAAGTGTCCTGTTATTCTGTTTACCTGTGTTTATTAAATATAGTATAAGATGTTTTGGAGAGATGGTAACCAGGATAAATGAGTCGGAGAAGGCGGCCATTTTGTCTTGTTTCTTACTTTATACAGCTCATTTGTTCATGTTTGTTATTTGCATTTTTTTGGCATTATTATCTCATTGTGATAGTTTTGTTTGTTACAAGCATGGTTGTTAACCATTAAACTGGTTATATCATTGGTGCAGTCAAACAAATACTGAAATGTCTGGAGCAAAATATATAAATATATATATTATATATATACTTTCATCAAATTGTTTTATCATTATGTGACTTCATGGAATTACAGATCAAGAAAATCTCATTTTATCTCTCTCTGTGTAGACTGGCTTACCTCCAAATCCCATCATCTAATGACCTACTTTAACTACATACAATAATGTATCCTCTGTAGCTTCTATATAACAGCTGTACCAAAATGAGCCGCGTCACGACAAAACCAACATAGAGCATTTGCGACCAGCATGGATCTAGACCAGCCTGCGCATCCACGCAGTCTGATCAGGATCCATGCTGTTCGCTATCAGTTTCTCTACTTGTAATAGGGTTGGAAAGCGAACAGCATGGATCCTGATCAGACTGCGCAGATGAGCAGGCTGGTCTGGATCCATGCTGGTCGCAAACGCTCTATGTTGGTTTTGCTCTATGTTGGTTTTGTCGTGACGCGGCTCAAATGTGTATATATATAACAGAGGAGAGGAAAAAACAACTATTTTTTACATCAATATAGCTAGGTTTGCATAAGTATCTACTAGGGGATATATATATAAACTGCTGTTACAAATAAAGTCACGTCTGTTTTTCTATATGTCAGTTATTGATAGATTTTTATAATACATGTAAGATTGTCTCTCCCAAGGCAGTAATGTTCCGTGTGGGTGACCTAAATTGACAATAAAAATCAATAGTTGTCTTATTTTGAGGCCTTTTAAATATTTAGCAGTTACAAAACAGACTGTTAATTACTGATAACTGTTAATTATTTCAAAAACATAAATAAATGTACATGTTTACAGTTTTTGTTAAATGATGTTGGAAAAAAAATACACAGAATTTTTTTATTTGTCCCATATTTGTTGTTGAAGATGGACTTTTACCAAAGTAGGTACATAAGTGAATGTAAATATTTGATATAAATATAAAATCTATATATATTAGTACAACATTGTACATGATTACAGTGCTGTTGTTGTTAATGAAACATTGTATAAAGAAAGTTTCTGTTGAAAATGGATATTTTGTTGTGTTTTCTTTTCGTCTAATTAGTATTTATAAAGCTAAAAAGTGTCTTTCTGTGGCATATCTTAAACGTTAACATTACCTGAATGATATTGAATGCTTTACACATAGAATGCTATGTGAAAAGTGCACTAAAACGTGGTTAGTTTGTCAGTATGCAAAACAAATATTTCCAGTTTGTATTTGTTATGTGCAGATAAACCACTCGAATTCCATGACTTATCACACCGAATTCCAGGACTTATCACACGGAAAGTGACCTGTACCATCTAGGAATCGAACCTGGGTTTCGAGAATTGACAGTCCAACTTTCTACCTATTGAGCTAAGAGGACGTGCATACTAGTTGCTGAGCTTGATATGACGCCGTAATAATTTCACAGAAACCTACATTGTCGCTTATAGAATAACAAACTAGAAAATCGATTTTCAACATCTTGAATAAAGCCTAATAACCGACTTTTCTGTGATTAAGATTTCCGCCAGATTCCACTTTATGTTGAAATACAAGTGTATGATTACACGTATATATAATATTATAGATAGGAAAACAACGTATATATTTTATTGATTTCAGAACATGTACACTTATATGATTTTCAAAGCGAATATTTACTTTGTTATTTAAGCAAATACTAAACACATGTCGAAAAATAGTTCAGTGTGTTTATGAAAACATAATAATGGTTTTTGTTAAATGCATTTCAACATAGGTATTAACCTTTAAATCAAATTGAAGTTTTGTTCTGGTTGATGGTAAGGTATCAGTTTGTATGCACAAATGTTTTTTTAGTACAGGGCATTTTCTTCTTAAGACTTTTAGTCTTTAGTCTGATAAAGATCAAACACATTGTCCAAGGTCATTAAGTTTTGAGATCCAAAATAAAACAGAACGAAGCAAAGCGGATGAGTTTAGAGTTTAAATCGGGCTACTATTTTACATGTCACTGTGAATAATTGATGGCCATCTGCAATGTTTTGGAAAGTTAAAAGGACGATAAACTCTGATATTTAAATATTGAATTGTAATAAAATCCAAATAATAATATTTAAAAAAACAAATTTTGTTAATTATATAGATTCTGAATGCTGAAAAGACCTCACAAAACAAGTCAACGATAAGACTGCAACTTCTAAATCATAACAGTACAAAATAATTGAGGTGTTTTTATTTTACCACCGAATGACCCGGCAAGAGATGCGCTGTGGTTTTGGCTGCTGGCTGTTTGTGTACGGTCTTGCCAAATAAACAACCACAATTCATTGAAGCACCTTGTCCGAATAACCCTCAGCAAATTGAATAGACACACCGGTAATTTATATATGGTAGATTACACTGTGTTTTGCGTTTGAGTAAGCAATAATTATGTTGAAGGATACACGACTGGATGGATTATTCTTCACGCTATCTGAACATGTTTGCATCAAAAGGAAATTAAGTGTAATAGAAAATATTTAAGCATAGTAAATTCAATATTGAGAGTTTTCATAATTTTGGCAAGATATCAACCATTTTATATGTACAAAACAACCAAGTTGGTCCATGCTGTGTAAACTGACCTTTTAAAATATTGATATAACTTACAGCACACAGTGGTAAATATATTGCGACATGAAATGAAACTAGAACCTTGGTTTCAGTCTTTTATTTGTATGAAGCTCATTAAAGGTGCTTAATTGGCAATAAACTCACAAAATGAAAATTTATGTTCGGAAAATGTGTTTAGAGAACGCTTAAAAATACACAATAAATTTGTTCAAGAATTGATACGCTATTTGACGGACAATGCCCATTGAAATTTGATGTTTTGTGCATATAGAATGGTACAAAAAAGCAAGGCGCTTCTCTTGCCAGCATATGAGTCTTTTTTGTACAAAATTCAAACTTGATATTGTTTCTCAGCAAAATAAGAAAATTTCCCAAAGATAGGGAGCGGGTTGATAGATCTTATCCAGGCTTGTGTTCGAGACAGACTGGGAACGAGACTACGGGAATTACCCGCGCAAAGTTAATATAGATCGTTCAATCTGCCTACCAGTCTATACCGCGGAGAAGCAGCAAACATTTTGTTATGTATGAAATAGATTGTATGTGAACTCGGCATATCAGTTCATATTTTAGTGAGGTAAACAGATACAGTTGTTCTATAAATCACATACACATGGCTCCCCCTACATTACTTCCGGTATGAAGCAGACGATCGGATTTTTTTTGGCAGCTTCATGGAATACTTTCGGGGATGTTTTTTCTCATGGAATTTCCTTCTCGTTATTGTAATAAAATGATTTTGAAATAAAATCAACAGTCTGAGGTTCTCTGTAAATTTTCTTTTTTGACGTTGATGTTAATGATTATTTTAATGTTTCAGAGAATGTGAGCGGATGGGCGGCGTAGAATAGATAGGAAGTTTTAAGATGAGAGAATTACAAAAGTTCCTTTACTTTTTTAAGCAGTCATTTTTTATGTGTATCTTTCAAACGAAGATCAAAATTTCAAAAATAGATCAGGATCTTGATACTAAATTTGCAGTTTTAACTTAAGCCTCGCATAAAAGGGGTTTTCATCACCATATAATCAGATGCGCACTATTCATGATGAAGGTCACGTTCGGAAGGCTACGACATGTTGACTATCATTTTGATGTGAATCTTAAATTGAAAATAAAGATAGTATAAATCATAAACGCATTTAGTGGGTATAAAATGTCTGATACATATCGGCGGATTTAAAGTATAAAAATGTCAAAATAAATGTATAAAAGTAAAGTGTGTCTTATAACCATTTTTTACGTAATTAAACCATGAACTGTGAGAATATTCTAATTTTGTAGGCTATTAAAAGTACTTTTATCTACATTTAATTAATCAATATGCGTAACGTAGTCCTAAGTGCAGACTTTAAAAAATTCTGAAACCGCTAAAGCCTATCCTTTCTTAAATAGTCGTCAAATTTTGTCAATGTTTAAACAAAAACTTAATGTCACGCTCGTGATGTGAAATTGAAACAGTGGTCAGATTCACACATCCGACGAATTTGTCTTGTCTCAGTAATCAGTCATGTGTTCCGAGTAACATATACATGTACGTCAGCATCCGGCCACATAATAGTTTCAAGTGCCTCTGACTTTCCTTAAGTTTAAATGCCGTATTTAATATCGTCACCATTCTTCATTTTGTTCATGATACAGCTCATGTGGGATTTAAACTTTACCTGCATACTTGGCCGTTAACTTTTCTAATGCGTATAAAATTTGTATCATTTATGCAATGATAATCAACTAATGAAATTACGGGGGTTCGCCATGATATTGGCTTGTAATTTGGCCTTGTCTACGGTCATACTCGTATCGACTATTTTATCTCACAGTGAGACCAGAAAGACAAGATCTAGATTAGTCTGGACATCAAAGCTTAACCGCGAGAATCATCAATTAACTTAACTGTACCGATATTGTCTTCAACAAAACCACTGTGAGGACACGACCGTCCTAAAGAACTACCAACCAGGCTCATTGCAGAAACGCAAGTCTTTTTCGGAAAGTATGTCACTGACAATATTTTATCTTGGTACATGGGCACTGTCAAATATTAACAGAGAACTGTAACACCAATTCTGCGTACCATAATGTTGTCTGGACAGTCCGATTTTGAGAATAACGACGCCGAACAATTGTACCGATTCTGTATTCCCACCTCAGGCGTTATAATCGGTAACCTTGCAAAGCGTTCAACTTTGACAGGGATTGACTGGCCCCTTTTCTCTTTGACGAGACCACACCCTTATAAAGATGATGCAATCCTTTTTACGAAAATAATTTATTCATTCATGTTTTTTTTGTAACTCTGCTACGGCTTGTCCACGCATTTTATTTTAAAGACCCTGGCCTGTCCGATCATTTTTACACAAATAAGAAAATAAAACAAACGTTTTTTAATTAAATTTAAATAAAGCCATAGAGGGCATTCAAATCTGACATGTCTTATGTGGACAGGCTGTCTAACGAAGAAATTAATTTCTTTATAAAAGTTGTTTAAAAACGGACGGCCCGGAAGTGTCACATGAATTATAGCTAATGAAAAATCGTGTTCAACTTGACACGTTCACCTTTCATTTTTCATTCTAAATTTTAAATAAACAGCGACTTTCATTTTCATGTTACACTTGCGAATTTACATTATCTCATCTATCTTTTTTAAAGGGGACGAGTAGTTTTTAGTTTTTTTCACGATCGGTTGAGTACTACTTTCCATAGCGCAATTCAGTTAATTTCAAACGACTTAAAACTATAGGCACAATCCCCATCATAAGAATTCCCAAAAGTGTACAGCCAAAATAATTTAGGATTATCTGTTTTCAATATATATGTTGCAACGTTTTGATTTTTTTTTCTTTTTTTTTTCATTTTGGGTTACATTACAATCGTTGAAGATATTAAAATCTAAGGTAAAATTTGTCTTTTTTAAAAAGGAAGGATTTATGACTAAATTACACTACACGCTGTCGGGTTTTGGGCAAAATATAATTTATATGAAATGCTTTGCTGATTTTTAAAGACATAATAAAATTGTTATGGGCCTAAAATTGTCCAATTTCAGAACTTTTCATGACATAAAAATTGTTTCACTTTCCACACAATTTACCTGACATGGCTTATTTATATGAACAGGTAGAAAGTACACTCGCCATGACATATAAATAGATGGTGGTGGAGGTGGTAGTTTCATCCCCGGACCACGGCAGTAAGCCACAATGAATTAATCAGAGCAGAACCGCCGCATCATTCTTGGACAGACTGTCAAGCAGTTTACCATTACTACTGGCCGGAGCTGATTACTTCTGTACATACTAGAGCAGAGGTACAGTGCGAATGACAATAGAAAGGATTTCATGATCAATTACAACGTAAGTGATTTGCACTGTCCAGGATCGAATCCGGGTCGCCCGATTTACAGTCTAACCCTCTACCTTTTGAGCAAAACGGACGGTTTTATATAC